ATAGGTCATATTTCTGTCCTTATGACTTCTCATGGCGACTTCAGATAAAAAGTCAACTTTCGCTGGTAAAACATCGAACCGTAAACGTCAAGATCAACACTAACTAGTGCAGTGACTGAGGGCAGGTTATTCCACGAGCAAGTCTCAAAAATTAACGTCCTCAAAACTAAAAAACGAATGAAGATTGTTTGGAAAAAGCTTGTTTTCTGAAGATTTACTGTCCCGTACATTCCAATGGAGCCATGCCTTATGAGCACCATCTTTCACCATTCTGAAGGGCTGGGGTCGACCTGTAGCTGAGTTACGGTGGCACAAGAAAACTCGGAATTCGAGGAGCATGAGCAGATCCAAATTGAGCTGACCAGCACTCCTATTGCCTGGTGGGCTGGTTCGAATACTGACGTCCGTTCCCACGCGATCCGATGTCAAGAGTGGGCCAACTTAATCATACGGTAAGATGTTAAATACCTGTAGACAGATGATTGAAAAAAATCCTAGTTAGTCACGACAGATGGACATTTACAGTGTTGCAGATAGCATCCCGATTGGTCTGTTGGAAAGCCAATAAAATAACATGAAAATGCGCCGTCTTTAAGTGTACCAGCCCGGTGCGCAAGTTTTAGGTACACTGAAGACATTCACAAACTCATGAAAATTAGAATTGGCCTGCTCAGAAAAATTCGCTTGATTTCCAGCTTACAGCCTCCAACCAGTTGAGCAGTAAGCTGTAACCACTCCAAATCGAGTTCGAACAATCATGATTGATTATTCTATAAATTAGCAAGGTTAACGGGTGAAGGAATATTCGTGTCTCTTCTGGAAAAGAATAGATAATTAAGTAATTTATAGCTGAGCTTTAGGGGAACCTCGGTCACTAGAGAAACAGAACAGAATCTAGCGGGTTAAGAGACGTCACAAAGAAGGTGGGAAGCACATTACATACGGGGGAATCTGCAACCGACCTGGATTCTAAGGAAGTCGAAAAAGCGTTCCAAAAAAAGATGCCCGAAACAGAATTCTTTTTCAGCTTCACATGGCCAGTGCCAATAGGAAGGACCAACGACTCACATCAGCGGTCTTGAGTCGTAAGGGATGACAAAACTTCTCTCCATAAACATAAAGTTCTTATGCAGTACCTCGGGTAACTTTAGAAGATTGTGACAATCGGGAACTCAGTAAGCTCGATCTGCATTACAACACAGTTTGAGCAGAAGCAGTGACTGTTGACTTTTAAAATACGCACCAATAAAAAGTGGGAGTTCCCTCGAATACTTTCCACTTTTATGCAGAGGATACCGGAAATTACTCGAAGTTCATTCGTGAGGGTTGTTTTCTCGTGAAAAGGATTCCCTTCGAAAGAGGTGGTTTGTATATATCATTAATGAACATGTAAGAAAGCTTCGTAAATGATTTGTAAAGCAAGAGAGTAAAAGGTAAAGAGTACCGTGAACACGGTTTCAGTCTGATGCCTCAGATATAAGTAGTGGAGTTCTGGGGGGATCGGTTACGGGTTGGGCCTCTAGCACCATCAGGCTTTTGACTGAAGGTGTATCTCTAGCGTTGCGCACAATTACGTATAACCTGCGGAGCAGCAGAAGACATGCGGAGAACATCTGGTCACCAACACAACCATGCCCTTTGGATTCAAAGAGTAGCGTTATCAGAAATGATTTATGTTCTCGCTGTTGTTGGCTTGGAATCAGGTTTGGCCAACTCCTCCAGATGGAAAACCAATGGACCGCTTGACACCCGGTTTCAATCTTTCACTATGGTGAAAATGCCTCCACTACAGGTAGAATATGAACAGGGATTCCTCAACAGAGCCTACATTGTATCAGGTCACATGGGGGTATTTCAGTGAGCGCCTTATTCGTTTGCGAACACAACCGCACCCGACCATGCTAGAGGATTAGGAGATTAATCTTTAGCTCGAAAACAAACGTTAACAGACGCGGGATTGTGCCGATTACTTCACAGAAAACAACACTACTTCACTTTTGCGGTCCATACCAAAGGAAGAGACAATTGATCTAGGTCCGACCCTTCGTGGAGTTGACTAACGATACTTATTTCAAGCCATACCAAGAGTTGAACTTCGGTTATCTGACGCGAGCATATCAGCACACCTATAATAATAACATAGGAATAATCGTTCAGCTGTTACACCCATCCGGTGCCTAGCTGACATGCCACTCGAAGGTTGCCCAAGTTCGAACAGGGGAAGTCGAGAGGAAGCGGTCGAGTTCCAAACAAGGACATTCCGATCAGTAAATTCGCGCTCCAACCACTGAGCTATCTCGCCCCATCATCACATCAATCTATGAAGGCAATCAGACTACGAGCAGGGTACAAAGGCATAAGGAGAGTAACTGGTTAAGCACTTATACAAAGTCGCGCCTATAGAACGGGAGTTTGACAGCTGTGCATAAAGGAAGCTAAAAGCCTAGGTTGTAGAGGAAGACAGGGAGCAAATAAAGGTGCCTACGAATTGCGGCTCACACGTTTTGGCCTCAACTGCTTACTGACGTCAAAGCTCTCACATGGAAGGGAATGGACTGATACAGAAAGTGATATCGGAACGATATGAATCTAATGACGGATACATCCGGTCATTCATAGTGAAACTCGACAACAGGGTAATTGTACATTATATATATATATATATATATATATNGACTCGTTTATGTGGTGAGTTGTGTTTTTTTAGTTTGTGGGCTTGCTAGTTGCTTTGTACCGCCAGCTGAACACATGATAATCTTTATCAAGTGTTCGGTCCCCATTCTGAAAGGCGAGCAGCACCGACGGCGGTGGTGTAAAATATATATACATGTACATATACGTATATATATATATATATATATATATATATATGGGGTAACTGTATATTCGAGACCAACTCTTTTGATAAATAACCAAACCTCAGTGACAGGGACCTATTGATCACAGCCGCCTAAGAGTAATACAAACCATGGCACTGGACAGAAAACATATCGAACCAACCTCGATGAACCCCAAGTAAAATTTTCTGTTAGCGGCTCAAGTGACGACCAGTCATCATACTGTTTTACTATTTTTCGATGGGGCTCTAAAGATGTAACCAAGTGAATTTAAGATATCCCGAGGGCTGCAAAATCCTGAGCTGCATGCACGAATTTCGGGCATCCAATGATAAATTGTGACCTCATAATGAAAGTTTCAATGGTTAAGGTTCGAACTTACCGATCGGAATGTCTGTGGCTCGAAGCCAAACTCAGCGTTTCGACTGCTCTTGTCTAGACTTGGGAGCCTGACAGTACTTTAAGCCCCGTTCTCCATTCGGTTGGAACCGAAAGGATGTTACAGTTGGACGATTATTTTAATTCTCATCGAGATGCCTGTGCAACTCTGAGTTACGGAAAATTGATGCTCAGCTAGTGACAGTCTTGCCGCTCAAACAAACTCGAAAGTGCTGGATTTAGCTTGCCACAGAAAAAAGAGTTGACTATTCGCCTAGCTACGTTATATTGTCTTTAGGACCACATGCATTTTACCACAATAGATGCACTGAGGGGTGCGCCGGAACGTAGAAAAAAACCTGAAACTTTCGTACGACTAGAGAAAACGGCGACAGATCGATGCCGCACTGACTGCGTTTCTACTTGGTCATTCGTCGTCTGTCGTGCTGCCACCCAAAACAAAACAACTGATCAAATCATTCATTAAGCACGGTAGTTTCATATAGCGGTCTAATTACGGACGCCGATCTGTAGCTACAGCCATCAGAGAATTCAGTATTGCATGAGAACTTCCATTTAGCTAATCACAACAACTGGTCAAAGATAGCTTATTGATTCTTCAGTGAGCCGCAGGAACAAATCTAACGTACAGGAGAACCCCGAAATACCATGCTACGCATCCCGCACAAACCAAACCGGCTTTTCTTCCAGGTTTTCATCTAGTCTAGGCGTGTTTTTAACATCTGGACTTGTAAATTATGTGCAACAGAAGCATGGTACATTGCTCTCGAGAATATACCTCCGGAGCACACTCAAATGTTTTCGAGACAGAGGTGATTCGTCGTAGGCAATCAGTGAGAGTTTGGTGCATGTTTTATGTACTGCATTAAACAAAATTTCATCTGAATATGAGTGTCTTACAACAGCAGTTGTGGAGACGGAATAAAACTCGCCATTTTAATGACAGTAGCTTATCCAGATATTCAACATTATTCGGAATTCATGTATATTAAATAAACGTCCGACGTAAAGAGAAAGGAGACGCGTTTACAACAGGGAGTTAAGAACCTATCGTCTGTTACTGAGAGCTCCAAGCGGCTACGTGAAGATAACATTGGGAACGAAAGTGGTCACAGACGGGAACGGCAACGTAGCCATATCAAAGGATAGATTTCGCCAAAAGGTCGACAGTACAGGATAGAAAAAACGAAAGCAGGCAGCAGACCGGGTGCAAATTCATCTCCCACAAGGCTGCTGTGAACTGCCTATTAACAGAAACCCATGAACTTAAAACGTGCTCGTTTTTCTGAACATATGATTTAGCAGTGGTTTTCAACTCTTTCCAATCCACGTTCCATATCCAAAGATATCTGAATTAACGGATAGAGCTGACACATAAAATAGAGCAAAAGATCTTGTTCGTGATGATCTTTTACAGTCTTCCTGCGAGGAAGGAGACAGAAAAAAACATAGGGAGACGTATTCAGGTTGGCAGAATACCTGCCTTGTCTCTCACGATAGCAGAGAATCTCCTCAATGACTGACAATAACTAGATAACGGTGGCTCAAACAGATACGGTTAACATTACTGCTGCTTCACTGTTCCGCCACACCGACTGGCTCTCATGAACCAGAATAGGCTTGACTAATAGTTTGTCTTAGGATAGCACAGATGAAAATCTATCAGATACAGAATAAACCAAGCACCATTACCACAAGCAACAATCTAATCCATACCAAGAGAGCTAAGCCAATACAGTTTTGACTCAAAATTCTATTTGGACACAAGAAAAGTAGTACAAAACATTTTTCATCTGATTGGGGGAATATAAAAATAGGCACTCAAAGAGTTTTATTGAAATATGGCTTAACAAAAATGTAACATAAAAAGTCAACTGAGAAATTTTTCCTCGATTCCGCGAGGTAGGAGCTTTTCACCGGGAAGCAATGGACCTTTCCGTTCCTAGAACAAAGGGAAACAGATTTTTGATAAGGAACTAAAATCTTGTCAATCATAACTGATCGAAATGTCCAGATGAGAGTTATCATGCGCGAAACATCTAGACTACGTAAAAACAGTAAGGCATTGAGAAAATTTTTTCCCATTTGGATTGTGGAGATATCAAACGATTGCACATCCCGAGAGTAGACGGGGACAACTTTACAGTAGTGCGCCTGCATAGTTGAATATATTCAAACCATCATCCAACAACCTATGAGTAGCTCCGAGCACGATGAGGGGGCTTCCAGCTGGGAACTCATTACACGACTAATCAATCAATATGTGACCATGTTATGCGGTCTCCTTGAATGACGGATAAGTGGCAGCATATCCTGGCTAAGTGCGATTTAGTCACCCTGTTGACCAGCCGCTCGTAGCCTAAAGGTAAACTGCTCAAAATACTAGCCGGGATGTCCCTGGTTCGAAACTTCCTGAAGTTTTATGAGAAACGCATTGTGGATGGTTCTGAAGCAAGATGACAGCTGTACAGCGCTCCCTGGCGTTTCAGCATAGACCGGTTTCACTTACAGGGTGAAATCTGGATTGAAGAACAGGGAATTCGGTTTTTCCTACTCAGGATAAATCCAGCCGTGGATTATAAGCGCTTATAACCACTAGTTGACGATGGTAAACGCCACACCACAAGGTCTCGAACAGCGCTCCTTATGTACAATTCAGGGAGAACCTTTTTTCATCTTCAGCTGTATTCAAAGGTTAAGCGGCTTAATTTGAGACATTGGAACAGTACATATGCTTTCTCAGCCCAAGTGAAAAATTTTCACACAACTACAGCTATTCCTAACTTTATGTACACAAACTGCGATTGAAAAGGACTGCGGATCACCTGTGGCGAGGGAGCCAAGCAAGCAATGCGAATTTTTTTAGTAGTGTTGTATCAGGATGTATCAACTAAACAAATTACTGCTTGATCTGAGTTTGTATTTCTCATAGAAAGTAAAGTGCCATGGGAGCGTTGTCATTTGTGTCATGACTCTACGTAGGCTAGGGTACTGCTTGGGCACCCAGAACCAGATGGGATGAAAATTAGGGCCCTCGACCAAAGTCTTTGGCTCAAAAGCCTGACCACAAGGCATCGGTGCTTGGTAGAAAATGCAAACGCATCACCATATATGTAGAACAAGTCACCACACATGTTCCAACACAAACCATCATCCAACAACCTATGAGTAGCTCCGAGCACGATGAGGGGGCTTCCAGCTGGGAACTCATTACACGACTAATCAATCAATATGTGACCATGTTATGCGGTCTCCTTGAATGACGGATAAGTGGCAGCATATCCTGGCTAAGTGCGATTTAGTCACCCTGTTGACCAGCCGCTCGTAGCCTAAAGGTAAACTGCTCAAAATACTAGCCGGGATGTCCCTGGTTCGAAACTTCCTGAAGTTTTATGAGAAACGCATTGTGGATGGTTCTGAAGCAAGATGACAGCTGTACAGCGCTCCCTGGCGTTTCAGCATAGACCGGTTTCACTTACAGGGTGAAATCTGGATTGAAGAACAGGGAATTCGGTTTTTCCTACTCAGGATAAATCCAGCCGTGGATTATAAGCGCTTATAACCACTAGTTGACGATGGTAAACGCCACACCACAAGGTCTCGAACAGCGCTCCTTATGTACAATTCAGGGAGAACCTTTTTTCATCTTCAGCTGTATTCAAAGGTTAAGCGGCTTAATTTGAGACATTGGAACAGTACATATGCTTTCTCAGCCCAAGTGAAAAATTTTCACACAACTACAGCTATTCCTAACTTTATGTACACAAACTGCGATTGAAAAGGACTGCGGATCACCTGTGGCGAGGGAGCCAAGCAAGCAATGCGAATTTTTTTAGTAGTGTTGTATCAGGATGTATCAACTAAACAAATTACTGCTTGATCTGAGTCTGTATTTCTCATAGAAAGTAGTGCCATGGGAGCGTTGTCATTTGTGTCATGACTCTACGTAGGCTAGGGTACTGCTTGGGCACCCAGAACCAGATGGGATGAAAATTAGGGCCCTCGACCAAAGTCTTTGGCTCAAAAGCCTGACCACAAGGCATCGGTGCTTGGTAGAAAATGCAAACGCATCACCATATATGTAGAACAAGTCACCACACATGTTCCAACCCCCAACCTGGAGGGCCAAGAGACTTTTTCATAGAAGAACTATCATTAGCCTTGCTAAAACACTAACTTGATCTAAACCATCCCAATGCCGCCGGTAAGTAAAGCGGTGGTAGCTGAATATAGTGTACATTAGTGCTTCTTGTCGCCTCGTTCCAAATATGGAAAAATAATATGTAGAATCTACTGGATTCATTTTGACCTCTCGGAAGCGAAGGAAAGTGAGAAAGAGTAATGAGAAGCCAGTGATAGTCGACATCAAGATCCCGGAACTTATACGGTTTGTCACATGCCATCGGACGTAAAAGAAGCTCATGTAATCTCAACAACTTTGATGGAATTGTCTGGTTAGAAATATCGATTGGCTATCAATGAAATGAAAGTATTGTGTGATTTTCACAGGAGGGATGAAACATAGGACTCACCCGAATGATTCCTGTCTTCTCGAAAAGAGATTCACCGCAATTTCTTGAAAAAGAGGAAAACATAAGGGTGTAAGAAATAGGAAGAATACAAGGAGCCACTCAACGCATGACCGAACGATGTGTATTCCGTGATCGAGAGGATCTATGGTGCTACATCCTCTCTAGCCGCTCGTCATCAAACGGCTTGGTCTTTAATTACTCATCGACCGGTAGCGGCTTCGAATCCCCCTGGAGATTCACGAGATGATGACCTTCGAGGGAAACTTTCAAATTTTTCAAAGCATCCTAAGAAACGAAAAAATATTGTCCATTCTCCAATAAACGGAAATTCGGTGTGTACAATTTGATCGTCCGTTGTCCGATCCAGGGTCCACGTGCACATATGAAGTAGGGATTCCAACCCACTGGAGAGAACTCGAAGATTCAGCAACAAACCATTGTATCAGATTTCCACAAACAAACTACTGAAGTACTGATTACTCTCTCATACAGCTAATCTGCTATTTACCCGATATTCCTTACCAATATTATTATTTTTTCGTCCACTGACTACCTAGACATACCCGCTATTGATAGCAAATGTGTTCGGACGTGTATGGGAACTGCGAAAAGGTGTTTTATCCCGTTTCGAAATTGTCTGTAGGAGAAGCTATTGGGAGAACCAGCTCCGAATGTAACTGGACTACACAACTACCAATGGAACAACCGTTTCGTTGAGGAAGATTTAATTGGTTGTTCTTCACATGCCCTTGACAGTTGAGTTATAATTTTAGTATCAATTTCTGGCCCGCCTAGAACTTTCCACGTAAGCTTTATGAACAGCCCGCTTCCGGCTGCACATAACACGCTTGTACGTGTCAGTGACTAAGCGCATCAGGCTATCAAACGGCTATCCAGACTCGGGGTCATGGTAATAAGGAGACATTAATAAGACTGTGGTCCACAACAGAAACGTGTGGAAACAGCCGGTCGAACGTTGCACGAGTATTACCTCAATTGTGTTCCTGGCGCATTCATTCTGAAGTCGTACTTGCTGCGTACGAGCGAGGCCTAAACATGTGCATTCACTCAAGATGTCGGCGGTGGATTCGACCTCCATTTTCAGAAGAGAAGCACGTGATCCCTTGCACCAAGCGGCTAGTGGTATCAAGAGCACTGACGATGTCTCCTCAATTGGAGACGAAACGTTTGTAAGTTGATTGCCAATCAGCCATCTGAGTAACCACCCTGACTACCAATGGTTTGACACACTTCACTGACGATCCTCAATTGGAGACGAAACGTTTGTAAGTTGATTGCCAATCAGCCATCTGAGTAACCACCCTGACTACCAATGGTTTGACTGACAC